GGTTTGTTAGCAACCTTCGTGACACTACTAACGAACGAAGAAAAAGTCCGTATTCGGACTAAACGTGTAACAACAAACTGCCATACTGTAAGTGGATATTTTTCCCAATGAGAAAAACTTGTTAATATTATACAGCAAAAATCATCACTGTATCATACAAATCAGCGTCATAAAATGACATCACTGTATCATACAAATCAGCGTCATAAAATGACATCACTGTATCATAAAAATCATCGTCATAAAATGACATCATAAAAATCATTATTGCAAAACAACGCATTTGCAAAACAGTAAAAAAAAATCATTGGAATCATCATGAAAGTCATTTGCTAAACGTCATTGCAAACAGCAACATATAAATTCATTGTGTCAAACAGCACTATAAAATTTCGTCGTATTTATCGTAAAAATGATTGCTAAACAGCATCCATTTGCAATAATATTGTTTAGCAATGTTCATCGTAAACATCGTTAAAATCATTGCTAAACAGCATCATTTGCAAACAACAACACAGCACTATAAAAGTTCATTGTAAATATCATAAAAATTATTGCTAAACAGCATCATTAAAATTCATAATCACAAAACATCAAAATCATTGTCGCTAACAGCTTGATATTAGCAAAATAAAAATCAAAAGTGAAAAACAGCATTAAAAAAAACCCGTGAAAAACTACAAGAAACAACTTCATTTTAGGAAACTTGAGGTGGTTGGGGCTTCTCAATTCCCATCCAGGAATCTTGGTCATAGAATCCTGTTATTACCGTAAATCAAAAGGTCTAGTTCGTCGTGTCATTCTTACAAATTGAGCATTCACGTATGGAGTGTTTGTTTCATCTCGGGGACAATGTTGTTGACTGGTCCTGGCATATTAGTTTTTCTACTGTTCTGTTATCCGTGGTTCTTTTTCGCAAAGGCTTCAAAGAGGGTAAGACGTAGTTAAAATTTAGTTTGTTTAATATCAGGTATATTGCCTTTAACAGAAATGCATCCCACAAAATTGATCCACTTATTCCACCAATAAATTTTTGGAAGTGCAAAAGTTTCAACATACTTTGTGAATAAGCAACCAAAAACAACTATATAGCGGTCTCATTTTAACGAAGGAGGAAAAGGTCCTAAACAATTTGCTGCAATAACATCCAATGGTCTTTCGCCAAAATTGGTAGTAGGAGTGCTTTGCTAGGTACCGGATTCCGTTTCGTTGAGCACTGGTGATACATGATTTTACCAAGGATTGGATGTCGTTGTACATACTAACCCAAAAGTAATTAGTTCTACTCTTTTCATAAGTTTTTGTCACTCCATAGTGACCTCCACATGATTCATCGTGAGCCGAGATTATTAACTCAGTTCTTAAAAATTGTGTTATAACCAACTGGGTGAGACTTCTTGAGACTTTTGATTCATGATGGAATAGTGAACCATTTTTTTCTAATGGTAATTACCATCCAACGCTAAGACTTTCTTTACTTCTTTTAAGTTTTCGGGTAGTTCTTTCTTGACTAGATATAATACTAGATTAGCGTAATAGGAATCGGTATGTTGCTCTTTTACAACTTGGTCAATTGGACTTCCTGGTACTCTCAATGTTGAGACTGTGTCGTAACTCCGTCTGGAAAGTCCGTTAGCGTTACCATGCATGTATCGATCGGTACTCTATTTCGAAGTTGTAACCTTGCAATATTAAGTTCTAACTTGCAAGTTGACCATTTGGATCCTTGATTGGCATTACCCATTTCAGTGAATTGTGATCTGTTACAATTTTAAATGTTTGAACATATACATAAGGCCTATATTTATGTACTGCAACAACAACAGCCAAGGCTTCGCGCTCGGTTTTGGAGTATTTACATTCTGTACTTGTGAAATTTATTCCACCATAGAGAATGACTCGTTCAAAGTCTCCTTGATATTGGTCTTAACAGAAGGAAATAAAAATAAAATAAATAAAAATATATAGTTTTAAAAAACAACACTGTCTTATGAAAGGACATAATAATATAAAATAAGCTTTAAGTTTTATATAGGGGAGAGCGGGGCTAGTTAAGCATAGGGGCAAGTTGGGCAACTAAAATATCTCAAAAACTACTCATCCTATGGCGAAACATCTAATGGATAAAAGATAGGTATTTAGAATGGTAACAAAATGCGCATCAAATGGTTGTTAGACCGCGGTTCAGTAACATGCACAGACACTTTTTAATTTTGGACCAAAAAAGTAAAAAAATATATTTTTACTATTTTTCTCTTAGATGCTTAAAAAAGCATTAATCTGGAATCACTTCAACGTTTATATTTTATTCATTTATTTGGCTATTGATTGTACTTATCCTTTTTTCCCCAAGCCTTATAGTTCTTTTTATAACCTAACTAATGTGTCGCCTTGTCCAGTAAGGGTAAGTTGAGCAGATTTGACAACGAATAATAAAACGGCTCTATCAGAAGCGAAGATAAAATTTCGTTTGGTGAACTTTTTATGGTCCATTCACACTTTTAAATTAATCATTATAAAATACTCATAACAATTATAAGGTAATATCTTAAACCTTTTTTTTTTAATATGTATTTATAATTTAAAATTATTTGATTTTTTAATATTTTAAAAATATTTTTACTTCAATATTACGTGGTCAATAAAATCTTTAAGTTAAAAAGTTCTTGAATAATTTTTTTAAATTAATTTTGTTTACTATGTTTATTAAGATAATAATATGATAATGTGCATATTTAAAAAACATATAACTTATAATTTATATTATACAAACATATAATTTAAAGTATATATAATCAAAACATATATAAAATATGATATTTCATTTATATTTTGCTCATTTATACTATATATAAATAATTTATATATATATTATTTAATATTACTATAATTAAACAGAAAAGTTTAAGCATTGGTATGTTAGAGAATATTTTGTGTGTACACACACACACACTTACATATATATATATATATATATATATATATATATATATATATATATATATATATATATATATATATATATATATATATATATATATATATATATATATATATATATATATATATATATATATATATATATATATATATATATTATATATGTATATATATATATATATATATATATATATATATATATATATATATATATATATATATATATATATATATATATATATATGTATATATATATATATATATATATATATATATATATATATATATATATATATATATATATATATATATATATATATATATATATATATATATATATATATATATATTAAAGGATGCGTAATTATAAAAGAAAAACTTCAAATGGCGCTTTCACAAGCCAACAGCTTAGTGATTCTTGATGTCGAATTCTTTAGCAGCTGCTAAAGAATTCGACATCAAGAGTATGACATTAGCAAGATATATTTTAAAACTAAAATCCAGTGGTTACCCATCCAAAATCAAGAAACAATCCTGGAAAATTGTATCTGATTCATTGCCATAAGCTATAACGTGTACTAACATTACAAAGGATTTTCAAAAAACTGGTGTATACCCGTACAATGCAAACATTTTTGCTGATGATGATTTTTTACCATCATTTGTCACAGATCATATAGAACCAGCAAATCTCGTTTCTGAGCTATTTACTTATTCCTAAACTCCTAAAGCATTTTCTCCAGAAACTGTGCGACCTTACCCAAAAGCAGCACCAAGAAAGAAACATTTGACAAGACGAAGAAAAAAGAAAGCTGCTAACAGATACTCCAGAAAGAATTATATTAAAACAGCATCAAACTAAGAAACTTAAAAAAGTTAAGAAACAAAAAAATTATCTGTCAATTCCTTTCAAATATTAATAAAGAGTGTGGTAATAAAGAGACTCAGTTACATTTGTATATTTAAAAAAGTTAAGAAACAAACAAAAAAACTGAGAAGAAATTAAAAAACAATCAAACAAAAAAAAACTAAGATGACAAAAAAATTAGGGAAGAGTGCAGAACAGGATTATGCTTGTCTTGTATGTTGAGAAACTTATTCTGAAAGTCTACCAGAAGAAAATTGGATCCAGTGTCAAGGTTGCAATCAATGGTCTTATTCAAAATGTGATTCACATTCTGGGCAAAATTAAATTTGTATTAACTGCAAAATGGAAATAGACTAACATAAAGTTTTTAGTTATTATTTTATCATAATATTAACAAGTTTTGTTTTAAAATGTTTTAAAAAAGTTGTGTTTAGTTTTAAGATTGAAAAGTTTTGTTTTTGTTTTTATTTTAGTATCAAAATTATTAGTTTTGATATTCATATCTTAAATAATTTGTTAAAACTAAAAGTATATATTTAATTTATAAGGACGCTATGTTTTGGTTTTATAAGAGTTAATAATTGTCACAGAAATGCATTTATTTTTTTATTGCTCAACTTGCCCCACGCAATTGCTCAACACACCCCACTGGGTAAGGTTAAGCAGCCTAATAAAATTTAGACTATATTTTTTAAAACAAACCAAAAAAAGTTTTTTTGTCTCAACCATTTTTTAGCAGATCAAATTATCTTTCTAATAGTGAAAAAATTATTTAATCCGATGTACTATTCAAGAGATCTGTTAGATTTAGTAAAAATTGCCCAACTAGCCCCGCTCTAACTTATATATAAATATATATATATATATATATATATATATATATATATATATATATATATATATATATATATATATATATATGTATATATATATATATATATATATATATATATATATATATATATATATATATATATATATATATATATATATATATATATATATATATATTAAATTTACGTCGCGCTGAACTTGTTTCTTTGCGCAGCAGCCTGGTTAGTGTTTTGGCGTTAAAGTATTCAAAAAGTGTTGTAACAACTAGAAAACAAAAATTAAAGCAATAAACTTCCTGTACACGTACATTAAACCCCTATTTTAGAGACCTGTGTACGACCTTAAAAAATAGCTAAAATGCAGAAATGAAAGATTTACGTACATTAGGAAATAATACAGTTTATTAAAAAATTAATACATTTTTCATTGAGAAAAGTTTTAATATGCATGTCTAAACGTGCAAAATATAATTTACTTTTGTAGTTATCAAGACTTGGCATAAACTACGACACCTCTTTTGATGACGTGAGTGATAATTTCGTCGTGAGAACCAAACTGGTAAATCAAATGTTCCCATCTATGTATAAAAAATTTGCAAAAATAATTATAAAAAGCGTATACATACAAACAAATATTATGAATGTGTTATTAATATTGTTTATTTAATGTAAAAGAAATGAAACCTTGGTGCATCAATAATGATAAAATCTGCTTGTTTGCCAACTTCTATCGATCCATGAGAATCTGATAATCCAATAGATGCTGCTGCATTGATTGTTGCTCCAATCAATGCTTCACTCATAGACATGCGGAGTAGACAACATGCCATATGCATAACTGTCGTCTAGAAATTCAAGATATCGAAAAAATAAGGGGTTACATAATGAATTATTTCATAAGCAAATGTTTTTTATAAACATTTGTATGTTGCGTTAAAAGTTTTAAATATTATTTTAATAAATTGCTAAAATATTAGTTTGCTTATTTTCATGCCTAGCTTATTTTATTATCATGCCTTGCTTATTTTATTATCATGCCTTGCTTATTTTATTATCATGCCTTGCTTATTTTATTGTCTTGCTTTGCCTAATTTATTGTCTTGCTTATTATGCTATTGTCATTGCTGTGATGCTATTACTTTTATACTTTTCTTTATTAAGAAATTATTATTTATAAATTAATGATTAATAATTTAATATTATTTACAATATTAAAAAGTTAGACTACCTGTTGTGAAAAAAAAACCAAATGAAATTATAAGAGCATGTAAACAATCTTCTCTACACTGGTAATGGGTGCAGAAGTTTGGATTAACTGAGAATATGAGAGCATATGATAGAGAGCAAGAATATTTGTAATAGATACAAAAACTTGAAAATATATTAAGTATAGAAAATACCACATCAGTACATTATTAGCAAAGACGACTCAAAGATTAAAGAGATAAAAAAATTAAAGAGATATTTGGAGATGCTGAACAAGATCATTATTCTATACGTGTTGTTGTGGTTATTATTCCTAGAAGACTTAACGGTCTTATCACAGAGCACCACAGAATCAGATGTTCACGCCTCCTTTCTTACTAATGTTACTTATTGAGCTAGAGCCGGCGTTGAACCAAGAGGTCCGAGGTTTAAACACCTGCTAATGTGGATTCATTGTCATTTAACTAAAAATTGTTTTAACCTTTACCAGAAGATGTCAAAATTTATTATATATAAAAAAATTTATTGAGTTTTTGAAAAGCTTTACTCCTATGGGTATGCATTCTCATTAATAAAAACTGAAAATTGATTGTGTAAATTAGAAGCCATCATAATTATCATTATCATTATCAATATCATCATTGTCATCATCATCATATATTTCTGTAGATTGTAACGACATTTTGTTATGATATGCTTATATATTTAGTTACTACTTTTACTTTAATAATTAGCAAAAGAGTTATTATTGCAATGCTAAATGATGACACAAGCAATGAAAAACTAAAAATAAAAAAATTTACCATAGAATAACAATAAGCATTTGGATTAAAGTCTGAACCAAGTGCAACAGCAACACCTAAACAAACAATAATAATAAAAACTAATAATAATAAGTATTAATTTAATGTTAATTTTATTAGGTTTTAAAGACTAATAAATTTCTCTTTGAAGATTAATGATTGAATTAATTGATTGAAAAAAATCTGTCATTAACAAAGACAAATCTAATATTTCATTTATCATATGTCTGATCACTTATCACTCAGGGTGTCTGCCAAATTCACTTCATTTTGTTTGCTTCAATAGCATAAGTATGAACTTTTTCAGCATCATTTTTTGTAACTTTCACAAGAATTGCTTCTGAATCATTTTTTAATGTTTTTTTTTTACTTTTTCCAGAATAACCTTTTTAGATTGTAAGTCCTTTATGTCTATAGCAAGTAAGTCACTTTTTTGCTTTCGAGCATCTGTAAGCTCAGTTTCTTTTCAAGCAGCCATTTCAATCTTTTGTTGACCATAATATGATATGGTCATACACAATTCTCTGGCTTATTAAACATAATCTTGTTAATGTTAAACCCTCTTTTAATTGCTGTTTGACCATGAAAAAGAGTCAACACCATTTTGATTAATTTGGACAGGGCCGGATAATCATCTAAACCACTAACTTTAGAAAAAAGGAGCTCATCCAATCTATCATCTATTTTGTTAAAATCATGAATATTTACTTGTATTTAGAGACAATATTTTCTAAATATCGCTTAAATTCGGTATCTACCTCATCCCCACCTTTTGGAGTAACCCAATGCAATTGAATCAAGTTATCAACCATATCACTTATTCTTTCCTTTGCTATTTTTTCATTGCACATTATTTCTGGGTTAAAACACGATACATTTCGCACAATGGCATATTTTAAAGGCGATTTTTCCACAAACTTACATGTCAACAACTGTAGAAAACATATGCAACTGTAGTTAAAAGCATAAATATCTTTTGGAGTGATTTCATCATTTGTTATTTTACTCTTTTTAACAGTTTTGGCACCACATCCAATATCTGGCTTTTTTAAATAGTTTTTTTTTTTAGTAAAATCCAATTTGCATAGGCTATTTGCAGTTTTACATTGATCTAAAATATCAGCTATAATGAACTTTGAAATTATGTCTTTCAATAGTCGATAAAGGTCGCCATATAAAAATGGCATCATAGGTTTATCATATTGATATATTACTATTAAAAAAGGATTAAAAAAGGTTAAAAAAGGATATGATAAACATAATATGAGCTATATGAGCAAAGAAATAAAATTTTTCTAGAATTAGAAGATCCTTAGTAGCCGATAATTTGGTAGCTCATGCACGAAGTCTGCTTACTTTTTAGTAGAGATTCCCCAAGCTTACATATTTTATGAATGCTCTCCCAAATATTAACAGCTCTTATGCATCAAATCATCAAGTACCACAAAAAGGAAGAGGAAACTGATAACTTTTAGTCACAACAGTAAAGCTTTCCCGTTTTGCAGGAGAATCATGGAGAAGTTTATAAAGAGATTTTAAAGTCTTTTTAATGAGCCCCAGTCTGTTTTGTTTTCCCCAGTTTTGAATGATAGATGAATCGAATGAAGACCACAAGATCCAGTTGGAATTAGTTTGTTAATGTCATTTTCAGCACAATAGTTTTATAACTTAGAGTAGAATGCCCAATATGCATTTAAGCCATCCATATATACTTGAATAAGCTCGGTTTTATTCAAAGATAATGAACCCAACAAAAAAATTATGCAGAAGATCTCTACTTTGACTATGTCCAACAAGTAAAAACACGGTTTAAAACACTTTACCAATAATTAACAACAAGATCCATCTGCCCCGTTTGCACAACTGAGTTAAAACTTGTGGAAAGAAACAGCATAAATGTCTCACTTATCTCTAATAATAAATGTCTCACTTATCTCTAATAAGAACTGATTAAAAATGAGGAGCTTTTTCAAAATTTGAACATTCGTCTTTTTGAAGAGAGAATATTTCAGCTGTAGCACTGTCAGGAAACATTGATTTAAACAAAATCGAAAGTCCATCATTGGATCAAAAAGAAAATGATGACATGATGACAAAACATTTTTAAGTGTCCATCTGATCTCTGCATCAATAACCAGGCCTCGGCAGAAAGAAATAAGTGTTAGAGTGGCAAAAAGCTTTTCTAAAACAAACATGGGAAGCCATGCGAGCTGCTCCTCTAAACAGCTTCTTAGGAAATATGTCTATTCAAAGTTTTGATTTTATACTTGTTATAAGCCCAGGGTGGGAGAAATCCTTTTCTTTTAATGAAGGTTGACGTTCGTATATATATAAAATATTTTTTTCTACCGGTGGTATGGTAAGTGATTTATTTAGCTATTTTTATTTATATTGTACAGTAGATTTACACTTTTGATATCATATCGTTAAAAGAATATTAGTGTTTTACAAATTTGGGTATGGTTGGGCTTTGACTATTTGAAGTGAGTCTTTTTTTACTGCAGTATAGAACATGCAGGGTAAAGCATAAGTGGCAATAGCATTTGTCTGACGGGATAAACAGAAACTATGTTTGGACATCAGCATTAATGCTTTTTTTCCATTCTGAGGCCTTACATTGTTGTATGCTTTTTATTTTGTAATCAATTTTTTGTTTTATAAGTTTTTTGTTTGGTGATATATTGGTGATATATATATATATATATATATATATATATATATATATATATATATATATATATATATATATATATATACATATATATATATACATATATATACACATATATATATATATATATATATATATATATATATATATATATATATTATAAATATATATAAATTATATATATTATAAATATATATAAACTATATATATATAAATATATATACATTTTAGGATTCATATAAATAAGAGCGATTCTATTAAACTAGCGGCTTTTAACAATGTGTTTGCTATCTCACTGCTGTCTTTGTCTTTAAATTTTCTTCACTAGTTATCTGTTGTCTCTTACTAATGTTGTACTTGGTTATTATAGGCATCTTTAATAAATATTTTTCTCAGGATCAAAAAAATAACTGTTTACTCCATCTAACAAAAAAAAAAAATTTTCTACCATTTATGATTATATATGAATATGATTGATAAACAAACATCGGAGTTCCTACGTTCAAAAGCACCCCTTTATACACCAGTGTTTTATGGTCTTCCCAAAATTTATAAGATAGGCATTACCTTAAGACCGATTGTTTCTGGTTGTTACGGACTAATTGATAACTCATTTTTCTTTATCACAGAATTTGTTCAGCCAGTTGCTGAACAATTACCAGCATACTTAAAAGACACAACACATTTGCTTAAACTCCTTCAATCTCATGTACTAGAAACCAACAACATCCTTGTCACGACTGATGTTAAACCTGTATTTGTATACAATCATTCCTCACCATGAAGGTATTAACGCAGTTAAATTTTATTTAAAGAGAGTACCGCTATATAACGGACTTATAAAACGCCCACCTATTGCTTTTATTGACATAATATTAGAAACCATCCTAACCCACATCAACTTTCAATTTTCGATTGATCACTTTTTACAATTAACAGGAACTACCATGGGAACACATATGGCTCTGCTTAATGCTAATTTATTTACAGGAAGAATCGATGAGAAAATAATTGATTTCTTTTTATAAACGATTTATAGATGATATATTATTTATTTTTTATCAGCCTTCGGAGAAACTAACACAAGTTTTCAAATTTATGAATGCCATCCACCCCACGATCAAATTTACTTTTAATAATTCTACCAATTCTATTAATTTCATAGACCTAACAATTATCAAAAAACTAGATAGAAAATTAGAATTAACAATATAAAAAAAGGCAACTGATACAACAGCACTATTACATTATAATTCATTCCACCCACCCACCCTCATCAAAAAAGCAATTTAGTATATAGCCAAGTGTTAAGATTATATCGAACAATAAGATTATATCAAACAATCACAACCTAATAAAAAAGCTACAACAACTAGCACAAATTTTAGTTATTCCAGGCTGCGCTATTCAATCTATTAACAAAGGTTTTAAAAAACCACTATGACATACATGACACGAACCTGTCTACAATAAATATAAAGAAGAAAGAGAAAAAGATTTTACTGATAGTTACAACATTTTAAAAAGTTGTCAATTAAATAATAAAAAAGTACTGGAATATTGTTAAACAAAATACTGATCTTAAAAATATATGGCCAACTCCATTTGCACACGCACAACACCTATTGCAAGTTACAAAAACATCGATCAAGAAATTTCTAATCCAGACAGCACATGAAAAAACATAAAGGAACTGGAACTATTGCTTATGTTTTTTTTTCCTGCTTTTTTTACAAGCGCTATTGTAAATAGAAAAGTTTTATTTTAAATTATTCAATTTTACTTTTTTCATTTCAGCATTCAAGTAATCATTGATGACTTGACAACATTCTTCATATAATTTCTTGACAACAAAATGACAACATTCTCTGCCTTCATTTTCTGGAGTACTACAATTACAATTCTGATTTACATCACTACAGCCTATGGTCTCTTGTAGTCCAGTTTCATCACTACAGCCTATGGTCTCTTGTAGTCCAGTTTCAGTTACAGTCTTACTGTCTTACTAAGTGTTCTTTATTATTCTCAAAATTATTTGACAAGTGCTTTAATAAACTAAAGTTGTTTTTGATGGATAACACTCACTCACTTTCTACTCTTAATTTCTAGGGTATTACAATGTTTCATACTTAGTACATTTGATCCTGTTTTCTTCCTATGGTCTCTTGTAGTCCAGTTTCATCACTACAGCCTATGGTCTCTTGTAGTCCAGTTTCATCACTACAGCCTATGGTCTCTTGTAGTCCAGTTTCATCACTACAGCCTATGGTCTCTTGTAGTCCAGTTTCATCACTACAGCCTATGGTCTCTTATAGTCCAGTTTCATCACTACAGCCTATGGTCTCTTGTAGTCCAGTTTCATCACTACAGCCTATGGTCTCTTGT